CAACTCCCAAAAATATTCAGCTTTGATATTAATGAGTCTTTTGGGTTCATTAAGAACATGGTTGTTGTTCAATAATAAAATTAATCCTCAAAAATACAACTTGCCTAATAATTCTGCACTCCCTGTATAGTAGTAAAAATTAAAACGCATATTAAGATGACATTCCTTTTATGCTAAAGGGGAATTAGCACTTAGCACCACTGACCACCTCATTAAGTAAAACCTGGTATCCGGTATCCATATTAATTGATACATTAATTGGTTGCACAGCTAACCAACAAAGTAAACCGTAAACAAAGATACGCACAATTCAGAGGTGAAAGGTAAAATGATGCATTCAAGAAAGCTGCACAAAACAGCTTTTCAGTTCACCGATAACCGTAAACTATAACAAAACAAAGTGATTTGTTGATTTATTGACCCGTTATAAATATTTTCCAGTATAAACAGGATGTGGATAAGCAGAAGTATTTTTATTAAATATATTATTTTAACACATTCAGGGTGTAACCCACTGCTTCCAAAACCAGTGTCAAATAATTACTGCCGCTATCAAGAAATACATGCCATTTTTCTGTTATTCTCAAAGGCTTAAGTAAATAAATAAAAAAGAACTAGGGTTGAACTCAGGAAGGAAAAGTCACACAATAATTTATCAGTAACATAAATGATCTTAAATATAAATGTAAAACAATATACTCACAACTGGAGTTATATTAATACAGAGGAGCTATATTGGTATCCTCCAATCCAACCTCGGACAAGCAGTGGACAATAAAATGACAGATATGTAAACAATTTTATTCACCCTTGTGTTTTTTAATAAAATCAGATTTAAGATATCCACATTGATTGATTTTGAATTAAATCAACAATACTGAAGAATATTGGCTTCCAATGACTGATAACCTCCATAAGTTGTAACAAGTGACCAAACAAACCATAAGATATCAGTTTTTTATTTAAAAAAAACCCACACAAAAAATATGAATTCAGTTGTCATACTGAATAAACAATTACAGCATTAACACCTACCTTTGTAACAAACGTATACTTCTTACAGAAACTGAATGGAAGCTGTGTGGACTAAGCGGAAGATGACGTGCCAGTAATAGTGTTGAAACCTGAACCATAACCATTCTAAACCGGTGTGTGTGTGTTTCAAAACTTCACATTTGATTTGGCCTCTGTGAAAGATCCAGCAGACTAAGGAAGAAATTTAATGAAAGTCTTACACACAATTATTCTGATAAGGTAAAGTAACATGCAGCAGAATAATTCAGCAGAAAAAAACGAACTTTGAGGAGAACAGCGTTGGCCTCATTCAGCCTCAAGTGGTACAGTAACACCGGAGATGAGTTGCGTTTAACAATTAAGGCCAATGTGGTTACTGTCAAAGCACATTTGTATAAGGAAATATTCAAGAGAGTTTTTTTTTTAGAACTAAAAGTCCAGGTATTCGTGCTTATGTATGATGAGTGCAGTGGGACCAGTCAGACACATTTAAACAGTATGTAGATTCTTGAGTCTTCGTTTCAGCATGCAGGAGACAGGACTCTCACCCATTCGCTTCCAGTAAATTATCCAGCACGTGTGCACATATCACTAGGAATACTGGGTTCAAATTTAAATGAAATAGCAGAGATGGCAGGAAAAGTCCTGCCTAACATACAGTAACATATGGATCTACATGTTCTTACATACAGGAGAATTCCAGACCTCAGTGCGTGTCCGAAATCGGCTTCAGATACAACGGAAAACTTACTTTAAAGTCACTTAATAAGGCTGCAGCGAGGGTTTAAACTAAGGCAATAAATCCAAACACAACAGCCTGCACTGAGTCACTGCGGGAGCACACAAATAACTCCAATGTCCGACTGTAGTATAAATCGCAAAATAAGTATTAGCTGAACATTTTTAATGCTTTTAACATGACCAGCCTTTACATTAAACAGTCATACTCTGTTGTTGTTTTATTATTATGGGATTCTTTCTTTTTTTTCTTTGAGAGGCAGATAACCAAAACCAAAAACAGGTTGTGAAAGCAAGAGACGTGCAGTAAAGGAAATGCCCATGCTTCACCCCATCATCGATTTTGCTGCAAATAACCTAATAACATAATTTCAATTAACTTTTCTTACTAAAGTTACATTTCCACACAACTAAACTGCATTTTCACTCCATTTGATTAGAAACAAGTTGTATTCATATCCATGGCATCATTAAAGGGTATTCAGAACAATAGTCTGACAGACCACCGTACAACGCATTAAACACAGATGTTCGATGTTTTTTAACGAGGGATGCACTATATTATCAAATAGGATAAATAATAATTTAAAAAAGCCGACAATGTGTTCATTTCAATTATACAACACCAGCTCTTAAATTGACCGATAATTGCAGCGGTTTCTATACTGCTAGCCTCAGTCCCCCTCCCGAGTAGCGCTAATTAGCATATGAGCTAAAACAGAGCTTTTTTTTTTTTTTTTTTTTTTACACTGACAGAGGAATACAACGACAGTTTGCCATATATACTCACATTAAATTCAGGGACTTCAGTCGGTTAAAAAAAAAAAAAAAAAACAGTTGCCTAACGTCAGTCAAAACCAGCACGAAGGCACAGAAACCAGGAATTGGAGCTCAGATGTTTTCTAATCATTCGTGTGTTTCAGCAGCGATAAAGTAAAAAATGGTTTAAAAAAATATGGGGAATATTAGCCATACATTTAACTTCTGTATAGCCTTAAGTCAAAGTTAAATATTGTTTATTCGTTTACACTATAGGCCGTTTTGCATTATATGACACGGTTATCCCAGTGCAGTCAAAGTTTAATATTCATCAATTTCTTAAATAAAAAAGTTGCGAGAAATACCGTCTTTAGTCTGGCGAGGTTTTAAATCAGGATTACATTTCTTAAAAAAAAAAAACAAAAAAAAAAAAACCCTTTATTATTGCTTGAAATATTACATTGTTGGTTTTGTGTATTTAGTGATTGGATACTTGTCGGTTTCCGGTATCAATTGGGAAACATTGAGCATCTTACTTTTAAACAACTAATTCTCTAGGCTAGTGTTTAATAAAGATGCTGATGCTACGGGAAAGACCTCACTTGTTGTCTAGCTCTTTGTGATTCTACCCACTACTTACTAACAGTGCTCAAAAACCTATATATTCAAACTAACTTCAACCCAAATACCATTCAAAATATGTCATGTTAGTTATCATATCTCTGATTATGTCACATCAAAATGGAGGCTTTAGTCCATAAAGTATTTTCTGTACCAAGCTGGAGAATGCAGTCTTGTTGTGTGGAAACATACGTTTTAGGGGACCATGTTGGTCTCACCAGCATGAACCCTTCTGTGTAACCTTAGTCCTGTGTTGTGAGCAAAATTCCTTCCGCACAGGTTGCACATATAGGGCTTTTCTCCCGTGTGGACTCGAGTGTGTATTTTCAAAGTTGTGCTGAGGGAAAACCTTTTACCACACCACATACATTTGTAAGGTTTCTCCCCTGTGTGCACTCGCACATGATTGGTGAGCGATGAGTGGTAGGGAAACTCCTTGCCACAGTAGATGCAGCTGTAAGGTTTCTCTCCCGTGTGAGTTCTCGTGTGCCGCCTCAGGTCGGCAACTCGACTGAAACTTTTTCCGCAGGTAGCGCACTGGTGCGGCTTCTCCCCCGAGTGAGTCTTCATGTGGTTGATGTGGCTCGATTGACAGTTGAACTCCTTTCCACAAACTCTACACATTAACAGCTTGGTCAGCTTCTGTGGAAACAGTTTACCACAGGTTTCTGGCGTGAAATGTTTTTCACCGGTGTGGCTCCTTATGTGCATTTTTAACTTCAGGAAGTCAAGAAACTCTTCAGCGCAAAACATACATTTGAAAGGTTTGTGTTCAGGTGTCTGATGAGTACTCGCAGTCTCGTGATTTCGGCTGTCGTGCTCGCGGCTGTTAGATGGGTGTGAGTTGTGTGCAAAGTGGTGGTCGGTGTACGGTGTGGACACACCTGAGCCCTGTGACTCAGATATAACTGCCATGCTGGGCAGCGGTTGGTCTTTTTCTGCAGCACCTCGAGTCTGGTCATGTCCCATGAGCAGATTCTGGTCTACGCTGAAGTCAGTGCTCTCTCGAGGTGGCCTCATTTTAAACATGTCCGCTGCTTGCTGTAAAATGTACGGCTCCTTCTGCTGACCAGAGCATAGTTCCTCCACTTGGTTGAGAGTAGAGCTCCGCCTCTGGTCACAGTGCTTCTGGGCTTCCAGTAGAATTTCATCATTAGTGGTTGATGGATATGGGAGGTCTGAAAGACAGAAGAATGCTTTACTACTCATTTGTTCTAACTAAACTCCCAACTACTCTAACAAATTGTTATATTAACACTAATGGGTTTTCTCTTCTACATAAACTTAGGAATTTTTATTTGTAAACAAGACTAATTTTTGGATGGGATTTTGGGATTATTACTAGACAGGTTTGCAAAACGTAACTGCTTAACAAATGCAGAATTTATTTTGAATCTCTCACATTTTACATGACAAACATTGTCAAGATTAGTAAAGCACTGATATATTTTTCCTAATGAGTGATAACAGGTGCAGCTCCTATGTTGGGCCCAAGGTTAGACATCTTACGAGGACAGTTGGAAAAGCACTTGGTAAATAATCACACGGGTGACAACTGAGTTCCATTTGGCGTCTTCGGTTTCAGGGTCCATGCTGTTTGCCATCACCAACACCTGTGCTTCTCCTGCTAAAACATGTCCAAGTGTGCGCTACGGTTCGAAGGCCTGTGACTGGGTAGTCATATGTACTGGGCCACAACATAGTCAAGGCAGTGAACTAAGCCAACAATCCGAGTCCTGTAAATAAGACAATTTATCGCCGTATTGTAATATATATTACAAACCTTTGTCGTGTCGTTTCAGGACGACATCCAGTAGTCTGCGCTGACGGTCGATCTCCTCTTCGTACACAACGATAGTCTTTTCAAAAACACCTAATATCTCCTCAGCGGCGGCGCTCAGCCGCTCGTTGACATATTTTCTGAAACACAAAACCGACGACATATTTACCGAATCGGCTGCGCAAATGATGCGACTAAAACCAGAATTTAACAGTGTTGACTAAAACAAGCCGCATGAAAAATACTCGCTCGGCCTCCACCAGCCAACTTCCGTTCAGATTTCTTCTTCTGTTGTATGTGCAGCAGTTGGCATCCGGTGAATTGTCGCCACCGTCTGAATTTCTATCTACGAGGATATTTTTCTTATCTAATAATGACCAAAAAAATAAAGCCCCACGCGTAATAATAATATTAAAATTTCTAACAGTTTTGTTGGTAATGATTAAACATTAAAATGTTACCTTTACTAATTATAATGTTTTTTATGCCTCAGGTTCACCCAATATTGATGTCGGATTTTGCGAGTCAGGAGTCCAATCCAAACTTACCTAAACCATCCAGGTTTCCATAGTGATGTGTCGCGCGCGAGTGCATCGTTCATATGACTCGTGACTCCCAAGTCAAATGAAAGATTTGTTCATATTGAACTCACGAATCACTCACAAATCACTCTCTGCGAACTAATCTTTCACTGTGAACTAATCTTTCACTACGAACGAATTACTCTCTGCAAACTAATCTTTGACTGTGAACTAATCTTTCAGTACAAACGAATCACTTTCTGTGAACGAATCTTTCGCTGTGAACTAATCTTTCGCTATGAACGAATCACGCTCTGTGAACTAATCTTTCGCTGTGAACTAATCTTTCACTACGAACGAATTACTCTCTGCAAACTAATCTTTGACTGTGAACTAATCTTTCATTACAAACGAATCACTTTCTGTGAACGAATCTTTCGCTGTGAACTAATCTTTCACTACGAACGAATTACTCTCTGCAAACTAATCTTTGACTGTGAACTAATCTTTCATTACAAACGAATCACTTTCTGTGAACTAATCTTTCGCTGTGAACTAATCTTTCACTATGGACGAATCACTCTCTGTGAACTCAGGAGAAGCATCGCCAAGATGTTCTTCAGTCTCTCCTAGAGGTTTGTTTTGCAAAGATGCAGTGGCAGTATCAAAGAAGATCTTTGTGTCTTACTTCAATTTCTGCCATTATATCAGCGTTGTCTTCAACTAAACAGGAGTTAATTTTTTAGTAAACCTAAACTAGAATATTAACTATATTTCTTCATATATACTTTTTGTGAGATTTTTGTTCGGTGGTGTGCCGTGGGGTTTTTCCTGATGATATATATGTGCCGTGGCCCAAAAAAGTTTGGAAAACACTGCATTAGAATATAGCAGCATAGGCCTTCCCTTTTAGCTTCCACCACACAGGAGAGATGTTTAGAAATGTTTAGAAAGATGTTTATGTTTAAATGTTGTATTAATTGTGCATGATATGTTTCAGATTTTTTCAGTTGAAAATGTAAATGTGAAAATATGAATTTTCCCCACGTACCACTAGAGAACGCTCTAGTTTGAGAACCACTGCTCTAGATGATGGTTGGTTGTCTACGTAGGTTCCGGAGCTAAGCTGTGTATGAGAAGGTTAATAGAGTTGTCAGACTTCCTCTGTGAACCACTGTTGGCTTTTCCTGAATCAATACCAGCATGAACCAGAGGCAGAATTGACCAATGGTCCTAATGGCACCAATGTTTCAGCTGAGGATCCTGTCAGGTACTCCCATTGTTTTTCTATTGCTACTTAATCCAGTTCTTAGAGGTTTTATTGTCATTGTTAAAGTTTTTTTGTCTCAGATTTCAGTCTGAGGGATCAGACCAGCAGCAGACCAGCAGGTTTGTTGACTCAATGGCTGGAGCACCAGGACCTGCCTCAGGAATGAACCTGACCTTCATAGGCTTTCAGGTAGACAGACAGCTGTCAGCAAGTAAAAGGAGTTCATATACATATATATATATATATACAGTATATATATATATATATATATATATATCTGCTGTATATACTTGTGTACTTTAACTCACATTTATTGTTGAAGTCTGGTGTTACATAGGATAAGGAGACTGTAATACTTTATATTAGCTGTCATACACTCACTATAGAAAATGATCTGGACTAAGAAATGAAAGAGGTTAGTTAAAAGTTAGAGAGGTGAGGATGTTAATAATAACAGAGCAAAGAGGAAGTCGGATCACAGCGCAGAGGCTTCAAAGAGAGTGAAAAAGACAAGCAATTATGACATCACTTGAAGTATAACAATTACTGAGTGGAAAATGTTTAGTTAAAATTTTTAGTTAAAAAAAGACACAACACAACATGCTGTTAACCAATTTCTTAATGTTTTCTTATGTTTTTTGTTTTTTAATGTCCAATATGTTTGATTACCAAATGCATTGTGATAACATCTTAAAAAGTAAATAACCCTCATACAGTGTTAAACAGAGCGGCTCGAATGTGCGATCTGGATTTCCACCAGCAGGGAAGAGAAGAGACACAAAAATCACAAAACTGCTGCAGGAGCTCCAGACATGAAATGTATATGTTGCATATTATTTGACAATTAAAAACACTAACCGAATGATGAAAGAAATGAAAGAAATATTTAGCACGTGGAGAAATATAAAAAGTCTACCAGGTACTATCAAACCTACCAGTAACATGTAACACCCATGTTTGTTGTAACACATAACTAAGACAATGTGATCAGCTTGTGTAAATATTTATTACTTTAAAAATAAGATGATGTAACACCTTCACATTTTTATGTTTTATTGTTCTTCAGAATAAAGGTCATGGAGATGTTTTCATTCTAAGTGCTTTAAAATGCGTCATAAAAATTAAACATCAAATGGCATCTCAACACACATTTAATGGCTTATTTTCTGAGAAGAGGCAACAGAATTCTTAATTCTTGACATATCTTATAAGTAGCAGTGTGTAAAAATAGGGAAAACATTTATCTAATGGACTGTGTTGGCCCGTGGGCCTCCACTTTAATATACTTGCTTTAGGTCATATAACTCGTAATTATGTTCAAGCTTCAATTAGTTCTTTTGGGTCGTGCTTTATCTGCACCATCGGAGCTGTGGTTTCTGCAGGACCTCTTTCTGATCATATTCCTCCTCAGTAGAAAGTCCTCTGCGTGGACGTGTTTATTTCGGGACTATTTCAGTCTGGTTCACTTTTATCTTGGTCAAATATGAGTATTTCGTGACTCCCGAGTCATATGAAAGATTCGTGACTCGTGACTTCTTCTTTTTCTTTCGGCTTTGTCCCTTTTTTTTTCAGGGGTTGCCACAGCAAATCATTGATTTCCATCTCTCCCTGTTCTCTGCATCTTCTACTCTGACTCCAACTATCTGCATGTCCTCCCTCACTGCATCCATATATCTCCTCTTTGGTCTTCCTCTCTTTCTCCTACCTGGTAGCTCCATCTCTAACATTCTTCTACC